TATATATACATATATACATATATATATACATATATATATATATACATATATATATATATATATACATATATATATATATATATACACATATATATATATATATACACATATATATATATATATATATACACATATATATATATATATATATATATATATATATATATATATATATATATATATATATATATATGTGTGTGTGTGTGTGTGTGTGTGTGTATTTTTTTTTTTTTTACTATGAAGTGACTATAAAGTTTGAATCATTATAAAGAGGTTAAGGGATTTAAAATAGCATCAAATTACAGCAGGTGAATATAAACATTACTTTGATTGAGCTTGAAGACTTAGTCTGAGAGTTAACCTGCCCCGGACCAGGCTAGTCTCCCAGCATAAGTTGTCAGAGTAACTGAGTTTAAACTATCGTAAATTTAATTTATGAAACCGAATCCACCATTAATTAACCTGACTCACCAAAACAAGCCTGGCTTTTTCTCTTAGCTTGGTTTATGGAACAGGCCCCATATCACGATCTTGCCTCTTGGCTTGTGGCTATTTTGTCACAAGACAACAAGCTTTGCGTGAGTATGGATCACTGCTTTTTTGGCCAGTTATAGCGGTTACTGAAACGTCATATGACAGGTCGCCACACTTTAAATTTGAATACAAATTTAAGACAATGCTCCTACATACTGACATAACATTACATATGATTAAGCCATTGCAATGATCATCTATGAGAAATATGATGGCATTCGCTTACTGAAGTGATTCAAGATAATGATGGTCTGTGATCCTTCTATTGATCAGTATGTGAATGTTTCCATGCTAATAGCTCTACTGACTACAATGGCTGTGTAAAAATATTGATACAGCTATCTTTCACAATATTTCTGATAGTGTATTGATATTCTGATGCATATTCTAACCTCTACTATTGCTACATTGTTAAAAGTTTTAAGTGCATTAGTTTATAGCTGTTTCGACCCACAAGTGAGTGACCCATGCAAGTCTTTTTTGTGTTTACTGTCACTACAGGAGATAAGTGGGGCCTTGTCTGGGCTTCTGTAGGTTAACTGTCAGGTTTTTTTGGTCCAAGGTATCAAGTGGACCAAAACCCCTGACAGAAGCCATCTAGAGCTTGAGGAAAGTCATGAACGCAGGCAGAGTTTACCACAATCAGGAGATGGTCAGCAGTGATGCTTCTTTCCCATGCTTTCATTTGAGTCGAAATTATAGCCAGGGCTAGACAGAATCTGTGGGCATTTTTTGCTATTATTGCTATTTATGCAAAATTATTTGGGGGTATCGGAACTAAAAACTTTAAAAATGAAATAAAAGTAATACCTTTTAAACTTTCACTTAATGTTTACAATGCAAATCCAATTAGATCCATGTATTTGGTAAACAAAGGAAATCTCTCATATATTTACTAAAAGACAGAAAATATTACTTTATGAGCTGTATTGTAAATAAATCAAATGAACATGTTTACATTGGTCAATAATATTATTGAAATTATATTAAAAACTCAATAATTATCAATTTACACAAGTAAATAATTAGACTCAATGATGGACTAAATCTGCGGATTTCTGAGCGTGCAGGTTCCATGTGGGCCTACTTATAACCTAACCTAAAAGTGTCGTATAATGAAATTCTCAATATACCTAGACACAGCTGAATAAGAAAAGTCCGCTTTTAATACATTGAGATTACTCTGATTGTATATATAATATATATCACACACTGAAGTGAGATATCTAATGTATCTAACTGAAGTAAACCTGTTAAAAATATTTAACAAGGCAATCAATTTGTTAATTTTTTTGGACAAATGAAGTGTGATAATTTTGCACATGTTAACATCAGAGTACAAGCAGGCACTGAGCTGTCAATATCAAAGCAGAGCACATTAATATCCATGACTGTTCCAAATATGGTCAAACCAGGCTTCTAGAAAATCTTAAAATCCATTTATGGGATTTTTTTTCTTTTACTTACCTCCACATACGTACTATATCAGAAAACAATTTAACATAATGGACCAATTGCAGTATGTGGCACTTTTAACCTTAGAAATGTCCAAAGTTGCCTTTGCAATGTCTATATTTTGGTTATAAGTTTTAAAAAACAAGGCTAAGAATGCATAATCGCATTTATATAATTTTACTTCATTTAGGGCTATTGATCAGTTAATGGGATACACTTCGAAAGCAATTAAAGTGATACTTTGCCCAAAAATGAATACTCTGTCATCATTTACTTATCCTTGTTTAAAAAACCTATGTGAGTTTCATTATTCTGTTGAAAAACTGATAACCACTGACTTCAACAGGAATTTGTGGTGGCTGCCATCAACCAGCATTTTCCCAAATATCTTCTTTTGTGTTCAACAGAAAAAAAAACTAAATCAAAAAGATTGTAAACCACGTGAAGGAGAAAAATGGCGAATATTTTCATTTTTGAACTATCCTTTAAGGAGATTTCAAAGCATGCATGCTGGTTTGTCATATGTTACGGTGTGACAACCATGACTGATTTGTCTGATTTGGTACTTAAATGAAGGTCTTATGATCCCACTGATCTTGCAAAGCGTGAACCATTTATAATTTGTCACACCTTAAAACCATGCTCAGCAACCATGCTTGCATGAAGCATAAAAGAGACCTTTTGTGAATCTGATTAGTCAATATGTTACACATCACATGTAGCCTTAATATGCATAATTAAATCAGAATACCCCTAAACCATATCAATTTTAGCTATAGTAGGCATGGTTTATTATGCAGTAAATAATTGCATAAATGTGCAACCTTAAATGAGTTGTGTTCTGTTGAGCACAAAATATATTTTGCTAAATGTTGAATAGAGATAATTTAGCCATTGACTTCAGTATTATTTTCCTACAACGCATGTCAATGGTTACTGGTTTCAAACATTCTTTAAAACATCTCATTTTGTGTTAAACAGAAAAAAAAAACTACTTAAAGGTTTAGTAAACAGTTATTAATTTCCATTTATGGGTGAACTATAACTTCTAACATGTACGTTACACAATCATAACTCAAAAAATGACAAAATTGCTGTTAGATAAAAACAAATCAGACAAAAATCGGATCATGAAGTATTATCCTTGTCCCCAAAACACATGCATTAGTCTATAGCAATCACGTGACTTCAAAGCAGCAGGTGTACAGGCAAAGTCCGACACACTCACCTCCTCCAGTCTGTTTTCTTCATGAGTGACACCGGAGTACCATCGACACATTTGGTATCTCCCACATGCCTGCTGAACTGGCCTGCAGAACTTTACGCAGGCCTCTGCAGCGGTGTGCGCTCCAAAGATAATACGACTGAATGTGTTGCAGTTTAATGCCATCACAAAAGCAAATGTCTCAGTCTGTGTTGAAAGCGATACAATATCTGTCGCATTGTGACTGTTAAACTTGACAAACAGTTCGCCTGGAACATCCTCGATGATGGGTTGTGTCTATACGCGGCCAATCAGCGTCGAGGAACACCGACAGGAACTCTGGGCAATATAGTTTATGTTAGTGAACTACAAACTAAATACATCTCGGCACAACATAAACCCATAAAATAAGGAATAAGGTATTGTCACCAACAAATATAAATATTAAAGCAGGAGAGTTGTCTTTTGAAATTGTACACATAATTTGCAAAGTAAAAGAGAATTTTAGATCGTTTTGAAGATAGAAAGACAACTGTTGCGATTTTTGTGGTAGCTAAATTAGTTAAAGAATCTGTTACTCATTTGTTTTTTTCAATGTGAACGCTCAAGGCTGTCTTAGATTGATGTTTTCAGCTTAATTCCAAGGCTATTTGGAACATCAATTACAGATAATTCAATTCATCTTTATTTCTGTAGCGCTTTTACAATGTGAATTGTGTCAAAGCAGCTTAACATGGAAGTTAAAACTGTGTCAGTCCAGTTTTGAAGAGTCTGGAGTTGACTTTCAGTTTAATTTAGTTCAGTATGGTTTGATTTTTTAAAAATTAGCCTATATAACATAAAATGTAGATGATAATTTTTCTTTCTTTCAAAAACGTAGCTAAAACGTATTCTCTTATACAGCTTGAAATTGTATCAGGAAAATATCATATTCATGAAAAGAAATGGGTTAAATCTAAGCCAAATTGTAGACACCTCAATGTTTTTCTACACAATAGAAAAATAAACGTTAAAATAAATAAATAAATAAACTTATGAAGCATTATGTACATTTTATTTGGTTAATTTATTGTGTATTTAATTATTTTTATCCCTGGTATTTATGTTTGTACCGTGAATGTACATAGTTAATATACTTTTTTATTTTTTCAAAAAATTCTTTGTCTTTGTACTAGGTTTGTACATATTTGCACAATAAAAACAAATACTATACACCATGCTCAAAAACTGTGCAATGGACACATCTGTAATAAAGTAATGTTAATGATTTGACAGTGCTCAGAAGTTAATATTTTTTTTCTCTGAGAGCCAATTTGGAGTTTGAACTCACAGGATGCCATTCCGTAGGCGTCTGTACAAGCTTTATACCACAGAATGTCACTATACATGCTAAACAAGAATTTGTTTTGGTGCCTTTTTTATTGTGAAAGTAGCCCATGCTAAGTTAAATTAACCTCTTAAGGCCCAAGGTGTTTTTTTGTTTTTTGTTTTTATTTTTTACATACATTTTCTTTTATTTCTCTTTGCTATATCTCTTTGCTTTTCTTATAGTTGTGTAAATTGCTTCCTTGTCCTCATTTGTAAGTCGCTTTGGATAAAAGCGTCTGCTAAATGACTAAATGTAAATGCTATTTTGTGCTTATTGAAACCTACTTAGAATAAAACCTAAGTATCATCTTTTGATATGATGTACTTTTAGAGAAAAATAATGTCCATATAGGTGGACTCGTGGTCCGAATTTACATAGAACACTTTTTCCTGACTTTTTTAAATGCATATAAAACATTTTTTTTAAACATGTTTTGACTATCAGAGAGTAAAAACAACATTTTTTGCCCATTTTCGACAGTTAAAATTGTGTTAGGGACATTTCATATGCTGTATAACATTTGCAGGATGACACTGTATGTCTGTAACAAAATATAAAACATTAAAAGTATTTTAAATAGCCACTTAAGAGCTAAAAATGTGCTTTCCACGTATGTGGTCACTAAGCCCTAGGAGGTTAAACTTACATTGCAAGTGAAAAAATACAATAGTATTTATAGTATTTCTCAGTGGCTTTGGTGCATTTCTCACAACACTATTTACATTTGCACAACAGTTGATGCATTTCTCAAAAGAATTACTACAAACTGCAAAACCTAGTTGATAACCTGCAAAAGTGCGTCACTTGCTCAAAATGGATCCTTCCTCAAAAACTCCTTCCTCAAAAGCAAGTATTTGTCAATGCAAGTGTCAGTGTTTCATCAAGATGAAAAGTCCTGACACCATTGTTTATGAACAAGATAGACAAATGACTTTGTCATGATTCATTATGACAGTTTACTCTGTACATTTTTCCAATGTAAAAAGATTTTGGTGACAATTGCTGAAAATGCTCAAGACAGCACTATATATACTACTTGCGCAGCCATTTAAAAACTACAGTAAAGTTAGACATTACTGCATTTAGAGAGGTATCTGAGTACAAGACACTGAATATGTACAGTATGTTTAACATTTTTACTGCATTTGCTCTTGGCAATTCTAATTTATTCACAGCATTGTGCAAACAAATAAACACCCTTATTTACAACAAACATAAACTTCCTTTGGGTAGAGCTGTGCACAGCTGTAAACAATACTGCAGTACATATTGGAACTGAACATGCAACATACATAGGTCTATAAATCATTCATGAAATTGTTTAATTTGGAAGACATTTTCAGGGTACAAAAAAAAGATTTTAAAATTGTTAATGAAATTTACTTGACAGATTTTTTTTTGTATGTAATGACTCAAGTATTGAAATTAGAACTATTAGTTTTTATAAGGAATGACTATTCAGCATTCACAAGTTTAGTTCATTTTGGCTGACATGACATAAGCAAATGATAATGATATAAAACAGAAGAGAGTTAAATAAAAGCAATTGATGCATCATGTCCAAAAGCATTCGCAATGTGTTGGAAAGAATGAGAAACTGCTATTATGATTTGCATAGAAAAACTGTAATAATAAATGTACTGATGTGGTTTTGAACTAACCATACTACATTATATATCATAGTGAATGCTATATCAATGAATGCTACAGCATACTGTATTAATAAAGTGTAATATATACTGTAGTATATGTAGAATTTTACTACAGTGAACCGTGACGTATTAATATTGTAGAAATCCCTGTGACATGCTCACTGAAGCTCTGCCCACTGTTTGAAGGCCCATCCATGGTTCACAGCTGCACCTTATCAACCTAATCAGCAGCAGTGTGCTCCTGTCTATCACTGTTTTGGACTTCTCATGTGGTGTTTTGGCTGTGTGCAAATGTAAGTTATGTTTTTTTTGTAGTTTTTGTTTATGGAGTATCTTTGTTTATGCAGTTTATATATTTTTTAATAACTTATTTTGTTCGATTTGTCTTCATACTTAGAAACCAGACTGAAACCACGTGGAGAGATTCGTGTACTAGCATTGGTGAATAAAACCCAACGAAATCTTGCCTCAGGTAGGAATGTAAAGATTCACCTGACTCATGATTTGATACGATTCATTATGCTGATCTCACGATTCTTGATTCAGTCATGTCTTTATAACAAAATTATTTGAAAGAAATTTAAGGTGAAGAGCCTTTTTATTTTTTTTCCCAAATTCTGCCCATTTTATTTTTTTTTTGCAAAATAATACGTGTTCTGGCACAAATTATTTTTTTTTTTGAAAAAAATAATACAAACTAAACTAAAACTCATAAATAGGCAAAATTATGTTTTCTGGCATAAGCTAAGGTCTTTGCACATTTACAATGTCCTCTGCTGATGAAAAACTCTTTCACTGGGGACTGAGATGGCTAGTGTGGAGGTAAGCTCTTCCTAAACTAGAGAGCAGTGTGTATAAAGGTGAGAACACTGACTATAAAACTACTATATAGTAAGATAGAGACATAAGCTGAACATAATTATGAAAGTGAATCATTATTATTACTTGTATAAATATCTGCAAATTATTAAAATATGCATAAACTAGTTTGAAGGGGGTAAAAATAATCTAATACCTGGTTCTGTAACAGAACAACTTTCTCTTCAGTCAGAAAAACAACACTTTTGCTCCTAGCATTTATCGAAGCAAGCGGAGCTTAAAATCAACCGTTCCGCGTGGTTTGGCTTATTAATATATATATATTTTTTTGCGTATAGACGTCTGTGACAGTAGTTTTTCACTCTGCTGATGCTTTATATGCATCATATTTGTTGTTATGGTAGTGAAAGCAAACATCATCTTTTTGCAGTATTTGCACACAGTTTGTGTTTTTTCTGATGTCATTTTACTAAGCTGCCCCACCTCTTGCTCGCTGCTAATGGGTAGGGAGGTTTCCTCGAGCCGGGATTCGAGCACGGGATGCCCTGACGTGCTACTGCACCATATGTCGACGCGCTAACCACTAGGCTATTGCACCGCCTCCTCTGATCTATTTAGAGGACTATGAAAGAACAATACCAAGATTACAGTCTCATCAAACCAGTCATTTAGTTACATCAGCTCCAGTCCAGAGTATTATTAAAATTACTGCAGAGAGTCATCCTGCAATCCATTTTTTTTTTTTTCAGGAGATGAAGCAGCTGAATGAATGTGTAATGGAGCTGGGACAAAGTATTAAGCAGATAAACAGTAAAGTTGTTTCAAATCAACTTGACCAGTCTAGCCAAACCAGCTATGTCCAGCTTAAACCAGGCTGGTCAAGCTGGTTTCTGGTTTTAGCTGGATTTAGCTGGTCATTTTCCAGCCTGACCAGCTAAGACCAGGCTGGAAATGGCTGGAAACCAGCCTGGAAATGGCCAAAACCCCTCTAAAACAGGCTGGTCAACCAGCTAAAACCAGGCAACCAGCCTAGGCTGGTTTAAGCTGAATTTTTCAGCAGGGAAGTGAATCAGCCCATCATTGAAGTGAACTCTGTAAATCAGACATTAGGTGCATTCGACTTGAACCACGGCTGCAACAGGTGATCAGTGAGATTAGCCGAGTCCATGCGGGAGCGAAGTTGAAAACGGAGCCGTCAAGCTGGATATCCGAACACTTCGAGGCACAAAATTGCATCATTTTTTATTTATGACAACAAATGATTTACAGTACAAATAATATAGATTACCGTCTCTACAAACTATAGTTAATTTTTAAACAATAAGGGAATTCTAAATTAAATATATAACAAATGCATGAGAGAAATAATGGCAAACGAGAGGGTAATATAAACATAAAAATGAATGGGTCTATTAAAAACAAAGCAATAAGCACAAATTCTAGGAGTTTAAACATCACTTTT